GATTCTTTCATTTTTCTATTTTTTTAAAAAAAAACATGAAGTGGTATTTAGAGCTTTCCACTGCTGTTATCCTCTGCTGTTAGTTTCATTTGATATTTGTGACTGTTTTGATTTGTTTTATGCTTTTTGTTATGTTTTATTGTTACTTTTTCTATCTTATGGCTTTCAGTGTTTTGTGAGCTATCCAAGGAGCCTCAGTTTTTGGAAAGTATAGGTATTTAGAGAAATAAGTAAATACCAGAAAAGAATCATAGAAAGGCAGTGATATCAGGACTTTGATAATGTTAATAACAGTGTGTTCATCCCTCCACGTCACATGTGTGTTATGGTCACAGGTTTCTCATGAAACATTCAGCGCTGTCTGGAGTCTGTACTGCAATGGATGCAGGAAAATGGGCTGAGGCTGAACCTGGACAAGACGGAGGTCCTGAGGGTTGGTGGACCCACTGTTAGTGGTTTGGGAAATTCCCTCTCTTTCAGGGGAGTGACTCTCACTGGTAAGAGTGAGGTTCGCAGCTTGGGGATACATCTGGACCTGGCGCTCACCATGGAAACTCAGGTGGCATCAGTGGTCCGCACCACCTATTTCCATCTTTTCCAGATTGCCCGGCTGTGTCCCTTTCTTGACGTTGGTGCGCTCACCACCTTGGTCCATGCGCTCATAATCTTGAGATTAGGCCACTGTAATGTGGTCCATGCACTCATAATCTCGAGATTAGGTCACTGTAATGCGCTCGACATGGGGCTACCTTTGAGATTAATGCGGAAACTCCAAATGGTGCAGAATGCAGCAGCCAGACTTCTTAGTGGGGTGAAGAAACATCAGCATTTTACTCTCACTCTGGCCACATTGTATTGGCTGCCCATTCGATTCCGTGTTGATTTCAAAGTTCTAATGATCACATACAACACACTAAACGGTTTAGGACCTCAATACTTGGCAAAATGCCTCCTTCCACCTGGATCTACTCGTATCACCTGATCTAGCCAGGAGGGGCGACTGAGGAGCCTGGAAAGACAAAACGAGACGCCGGGCCTTCTTGGCAGTGGCTCCCAGTCTCTGGAACAAGCTTCCCCCCCCCCGAGATTCATCTGGCCCCCTCGCTGGGCACTTTCAAAAACCAACTCAAGACCTGGTTATATAGACAGGCCTTCCCTCCGGGCACTATGTAACTTCCTCTTTTTCTCTATCTTTATCTACTTTGTTTTGTGTAAATGCTGTAAATTGTTATTTAATATTAATTGTTTTTATTCTGCATTTTGTGAGCTGCCCAGAGTAGACTGTCTAAATAAGCTCAATAAATAAATCATTTTCCCCTATATTTTTCCAAATGCTATTTCGTTTTTCATTTGGTGATGCTCAGGAAGTTTTCCATAGTCTGGGGGCAGCTGCCGAAAAGGCCCTTTGTCTACAAGCCGTCCCTCTTACCTCCTTAAGGGACGGCTCTTTCAAAAGGGCCCCCTGGCTGGATCTTAACTGCCGGGTAGGTTCATATGGAAGTGCTGGGCACTTTCAAAAACCAACTCAAGACCTGGTTATATAGACAGGTCTTCCCTCCGGGCACTACGTAACTTCCTCTTTTTCTCTATCTTTATCTACTTTGTTTTGTGTAAATGCTGTAAATTGTTATTTAATATTAATTGTTTTTATTCTGCATTTTGTGAGCTGCCCAGAGTAGACTGTTTAAATAAGCTCAATAAATAAATCATTTCCCCCTATATTTTTTCAAATGCTATTTCGTTTTTTATTTGGTGATGCTCAGGAAGTTCACTGGGATCAAATGATGAACCCTTGTGAGCTGCCCAGAGTAGACTGTCTAAATAAGCTCAATAAATAAATCATTTTCCCCTATATTTTTCCAAATGCTATTTCGTTTTTCATTTGGTGATGCTCAGGAAGTTCGCTGGGATCAAATGATGAACCCATCTATCATAGCTGCCTGAGTTTCATTATTGTAGAACTCAATGGCTTATTAATCCAGTGTGTCAGCTGTTCTGCTGCGTGTTAATTTTTGTAACAGTACCTGAGTAGCTAAAGCAAATGTATGCTAATTGTGTGTGGCATTAGGGAAGCAGACATGTTTGCCTGGAACAGTTATATCAAGTGTGGTAATGGGAAGGCAAAGCTGTCTGGCATACAGCAAATGCAGGTCTCAGTTTAGATCAACAGGAAGTAATCATGTTGGGCATTTGGGAATCAGACCAATTTGCCTGAACTTTGTACTTCATGACGGACGTGGAACTACTGGAGTCAGGATGTCTCATTAGCTTTTTCACACATTGGCAGAAAACAACTCTGGTAAAAAAGGGCTCTGTCCAGCTGAACTAACCCTTGTTAAAAATGACGGCAGCAAATCAGAACTGGCGTCCCACTAAAGAGCAAGGAATTGTTAAGACAGGATGCTGTAGAGGTTTCTTACAGCTTCTTGGTTGCATAATGTGAATCAAACCTTTGCCTGAGCAATAACAGAACATATTTATCATTGTCAAGTTGTGAGCGTTGCTCATTTTTTAATGAACAAAATCACTGCTACTGCTTGGAAGAGATAGACAGTGAAAGCAGAATGGATCTTTTTTCTAGCCTCTTATAGACGTTCAGATGTTTCCAAAATCATGTAAACTGCAGTGCCTATCAGCCAAGGACACCTGCAGTTTGAATTTTCAGAATCAAAGAACGTTCTGACAGTTCTGTGACTTCAATTCTTCCTCTCAGGCATCATTCACCCCCAAAATGTTATTCAGATAACTTGGCATCTCCAAGTACCTTCATTTGTAAATTTAATTAACCTTGTTAATTTATCTATTTGTGTATTCTAACAGATTCCCTTTTCACATTGTCACAGTAAAACTTGGCCTGGTTCCAAACATGCAATTAAATGGTTAGGGCTTACATTTTGTGTAAAGCTTTTATTTGTTTTTCTTCTATCCCTTTACCGCTGATCTAAAGAAGGTGACTATATCCAACCATTAACAGTAACATTTATTTAAGAGCTCAAAAACTATGAGCAATTTTTCAGGACATTTTTAAACAAATACATAGTTTGAGAAAATTTCACGTGTAAAAATGAACATAGTGGTTTAATATTTAGCTTTTGTTACCAAACTCCATGTATCTATTCAAGTAGTAGTCTGAGGCAGTCTATTCCTGTTTACACAGAAGTAAAGGTGACTACATTTAATGACCAGAATCTTGTTTAATGTTGCCACAGTGTAATGCTGTGCTGGTGAAATTCTACTCAATCTTAATTGACTAAATCTGTTCAGACTAATGAAGTTTCTGGAGAGTGCCTATGGACACTAATGAAGCTTTTCCTTGCATAAACATAAGTCAGTTTGAATTAATGGAACTTATGAAGGATAAATCTCCACTGATTCAGTGTGTTAACTCTAGTGCAATTTACTATGCTAAGGAAAAGGATTTCAACTTCTGTTGTTCCACTTGTAGATCATTGCACGACCATTGAGTGAGTGGTACAATAGAACACGATCATAGCCAATATATTTAAACTCTAATACAGCATTCCCTAACCTGATGCCTTCCATATGGAATATAAGCCCTAGCATCCCCACCCAGCATGGAAAGTAACAGGTTGGGTTTCCCTAGTAATTGGATTTAGGATTGCAGCATGCACACGCACACGCACACGCACACACACACACACACACACACACACACACAGAGAGAGAGAGAGAGAGAGAGAGAGAGCATGCATTCCTCACCAACCTAATTGCTCACCCAAACACTGCCATGGGAAATTCAAGGGGACTTACATTGGGTTGTTCAGCTTGTCTGTCTGTTCTCCATAGAGTGTTTATTTGAAAGTCAGAAACAAGGAAAGCATCGTCCATCATTACATCCATACTCGTAACGGAGAAGATTTTTTTCTTGGAAAGCATGGTTGCTTTCTTGATGTTATAACTTGTATGTGGAGGATATCCTTAATGAAGCAGTTATTTCTTGCATTCACTTGTTCATATTTGATAAATTTTTGGGGATGTTACAGTTTCTTCTGTCTCTGAGAGCCTTTGTATATCTATCATAGCATAATACACATATAATAAAATCTAAACATTTACTGAGCTCCACCCATCTTCTTGAGCATGTCCCCATCCTGTAAAATGGGCCCCAGACCCCAAAGAACATGCCTTTCTCTGCTTTAAGAAACACATTTTCACTCAATAATAATAATGATGTATTGCATCCTATGCTGACTTTATCCTAGCAGAAAACACTTATACTAAGTCAGAGTGCACAATTTGTGCTTTTCTCACAATCCATTTCTGCATCCCCTCCACTTGCAAAAAGTGGGTCCCTTTGGTTAGGAGAAAGTTCAGAAAAGAATGTGGTTTGATGCAGCCTCCAATAAAAGTCATAGTAATTGTGTGCCATCAAGTCAATTTTCAAGGTTCTCTAAGTGGAGAGTACTAAGAAGTGGTTTACTATTCCTTTCTTCTGGGGGTATCCTATAATTTTGCAGATTGCCCAAGGCCACATAGGTTGGCTTTTCTGAGATACACAGTAAGGAATCACACTTTCTAACTTGCTGAGCTATTCAGGCAGCAATAAAAGAAGTAAATGTAAAAACACAGGTGTCTCAAGTTATATAAGCAGAAGTTGTTGTTTAGTCATTAAGTCGTGTCCGACTCTTCATGACCTCATGGACCAGAGCACACCAGGCCCCCCCATCTTTCGCTGCCTCCCAGAGTTTATTCAAATAAGCAGAAGTACTTTTGGCTAAGACAAAACCACCACCAGATGCAACCCAATAATCAGAATATTATGTTAACTATTTTAACTTGTCTGTCGTTGTTCACATTCTAGAACGTAATTTCAGGATGTCCACATCCAACACCGAAAAATTTATGCCTGATTTCACTTATTCAGTAGTGTTTTAATTTAGGTAATTTCGGTTAGTCTGTCTCTTTTTAACTTGGGTCTCTGTCATTCTAGCAAAAAGCAACATAACATTAAGATTTTAAATTTTGTTTTTCTCTTGCAGCTGACTGCAATAGATGCTGATGAAGGTCCCAATGGGCAGATCATATACGAAATCCTGGCTGGCGATCAAGGAGATTTTGTAATCAATGATCAAACAGGCCTGATCACAATTGCACCAGGAACCATATTGTTAGTAGGCCATTCCTATGCCCTCACTGTCAGAGCATCTGACAGTGCACCACTACCACAGAGAAGGTAATTAATATTATAATGAATTTTTTTATCAGTCAGTCACTGGTTCTATATAATCATTCACAGAAGTGTGAAAGGACTGGGATTATTAAAGACGGCCTACCCTGACTATTTGGTTTCTTTAGAAGAGGCATGGTGGCTATCCCCCCCCCCGATATAAGCACAGCTAATATGCCAGGTGGAGGGAAGGGTATCCCCCTTCCTCCCCCACTCCATCACAGGCCACCTATGGCCAAATAATATAAACAAGCATAATTTTTAAGGTTGTTGTAGGTTTTTCGGGCTCTTTGGCCGTGTTCTGAAGGTTGTTCCTCCTAAGGTTTCGCCAGTCTCTGAGACTGGTGAAACATTAGGAAGAACAACCTTCAGAACATGGCCAAAGAGCCCGAAAAAGCCACAACAACCATTAGATCCCGGCTGTGAAAGCCTTCGCGAATACATACCGTAATCTTTAAGCTTAATCCAATATATGTTTACTCAGTAGTTCAGTGAAATTTCTCTCTCTCTCTCTCTCTCTCTCTCTCTCTCTCTCTCTGTGTGTGTGTGTGTGTGTGTGAGAGAGAGAGAGAGAGAGAGATTGCAGCCTTAATTTTTGTGCTGCTGCCATATGGAATAAATGAATTAAACATATCTTGAGTGCGACATTATTTTCGTACAGTGAGATTGGCCTATCAGAATCAATCCTTTTGGACCTTTGTTTTTCTAAAATAACAGTATCCTTCTCATGAAATTTTGCCTATCTTCGTGAGCATATATTTGTTTAAGAACGTCCTAAGAGTGTGCTAAAAGGAAGAGAGAACACTAAGCAATGAAAGCCAGGTAGCTGTTTGTTCTGTCAACTATCATGTAACAGTAGTATCTCCAAATATCCAGGAAGTGAAAAGATCACTGAGCTGAAGGTAGGCTTTTATCCCCATGATACAATCTTATAGTGTGCCTTAGCTCAATTTAGAGCACAAATTGCAAGCTGTGCAAACACTGGACAGGCAATGAAATACGCTCAGCAGAAACTTGCATTTGCAGGAGCAAAGCCACTCAATGTCTAATCTTGGACTTGTTAAATCTCATCGGCATGGAATAGAAAGAGATAAACTCTTTTCTCATCTGAGCTTGTCAGTAACAAACAAAATGAGTGAGCTGGGTGTTTTTTTTTAAGCTGATCAAATGCTTCTAGAAAACAGAATCACTGGGATGCTGTGGTCTTGATTTGCACTGGGTTTTCACAGCTGTGTCTGAATATACCCAAGGGGGAAGAATGTAACATATGCCTTGGTGACATCCATATTTTAACAGTAGTAGGATCCAATTCATTTCAGAATTTATTGTCAATCAGAAACCTTGGATTCATATGGAATGCGTGTTTCTTTATCCTGTGTACACAGTTGCAAAGCTGACAACCATACTGGTTATTTGCTAATGCAAGATATGCACACAAAGGGAAAGATTGAGCTACTTATATGTATATATATGTGTCCAACCTTAGGCTTTCAGTTCTAAAAAAATTATATTTAATATTCTTATGAACTCTAAGAGGATAATGAACGAAGAAACACAACAAAATAAAATAAATCTCACATAACCTACCAATTGTTGGCAGCACCCTTCCACCTCATCAAGTCTTTTATTTTATATCTTGGGGCATGGAGAGGACAAGGAATAAATAGAGGAGCCCAACCCTCTGTCCAGTCTCATTATGTGCAGAATTGAAAGAGGAAGAATACTGTGGAAATAATCTATATATTTATAGGGCAAAATTTGCAAATCCAACACATACTTCCTATAAATAATTTCTGCAGTCATTATTTTTTGGAAGGTAGTGTTGTTCCATCATTAGCCTTCCACACATCTGGCAAACATGTGGAAGTAGGACTAGGACAATGCCTGCCAAACTCATCCCCTGTGATCCTACCTTTGTAGGACTATTGTAAATAAGAGCTTATGAGCCTGCAGCAGAGAAAGAATGGCTATATTGATCCATAGGCTCAAAACCAATTCCAAAATCCACAAATGAGCAACAGTTTTATTAGCATCTATTACGTATAAACTTACAGACTGTGCAAGCTTTCCGTTCTCTTTTCAAGTTGGTTTGAAAACACATATTTATTTATTTTATTATTTATATTGCACCTTTCTCTATGTAGCTTCTCAGCCCAACTGGGATTCCAGTCAGGTGGAAAGTCTTCAGAGAAATTCTGCTCTATGCATAAGCTCCTCTTTCTGAAAGTCCCATGACTTGGTGTCTGCTGTGGTTGGTGGAGTGGAAGACAGAGCTACCGAGGGTGGGTGGAGAAATGTGTCACAAGCAGAGCTGGAACAAAAGTGGATATTGCATACACCCATGCATACACCCATGTGTACAAAGGCAGGCAAACAAGCATTCACTCACACCCTGCCTCAATCACATTCATGAGGAGCAGAAAAATGGTCTTGCCTCTGAATTAGAAATGTTTCTACATGCTGCTGATTTCTGAACAACACTGGCTACAAAGGTAGGCATATTCAATATGTTTCATCCCTTCATTTATTTTCTCCACTCCCTCCCCATCAACCACAAACACACAGTCTCCCACAAAGTGTAGGGGAAATCCATCCACTTTAAGAATTCCTATATAGCTGCTTCTGTTGTCTTTATACTGAAAATGACCACTGCCTGTCATGTGGATATCTCAATCAGTAATAGGTCATATCTTTAGAACAATAGGATTGCTACCCAAATGCCTGCATTGTCATTGATCTGAAAGCTGGAGGTGACGGAAACAGCTCAGCCTGTGGATTGGGATTTACTCCAATGCATTCAGTAAAAAGCCTTTCAGAAGGTGTTTGACATGTGTAGGCACAGGCATGAAAGAGCAATGAAAAGGAATTGCATTTTGCCTTTAAGGTGGCTCCCTTAAGATGGCTCTAAAACACAGTTTGTACCAGAAGAGTTAGCTGGCTGTGGGTAGTCTAAAGTTGAGGAAGAACAATGCCCCAGTTGCTCTAAGTGAGCAGTATTGATACATACAGTATTGATTCTTAGCTTGCTCATTGTTTTGTTTTTTTAAACAAGCAGCATTGTGATTTCATTTACAAGTGTTTCTTTCCAAATGTAAGGCTTAGAAACTTCAAATGGGAGCCAGCGTTCCTGAGGTTCTAGGATAAAATGTATATGAATTATATATGCAGGAATTAATGGAACATTTGTGCAAACTACAAATGTTTGGTTTGCTTGTTTAGAAGATATATAGACCGACTTTTAACAGAAACCCTTCCAAGATGGCACTAATTAAAAGACATCTAGGAAAATAAATCTTGTCCCATGCGTCCTTCCCCTTGCCTCTAATTTGTGTGACCGATAGAGAGTGGCTCCATGAAAAAAAAACATTTTAATTCTAGAGCAGTTTTCAAAAATTGGGCTGATATGCAGGTGCTGAAGATACCCCCTTCAGACTATCATACTTTCTGTCTGGAGGTCAATGATGTCTCCAAGAGATGCATGGATGACAGCAACTAAACAACCATGCTGTTCAGAGACTATTCTGAGATCAGCTCTGCCTCTGTTTCTGTATTCCATACACATACCTTCCTTCTTGACTCTCACATCCCAGTGGAAGACTTAAGGCTATTGCTGCTGTTACTTTCTTACTTTGAAATGTAGACCTGTCCTTGAGACTGCATAGTAGGTCTATGCATATGCAAGGCGTACACTGCTGTGTACTTCTAACATGTCCCTTGTGTACTATGGTCAGTGATTACTTTCTTACTTTGAAATGTAGACCTGTCCTTGAGACTGTATAGTAGAAGTGTCTATGCATATGCAAGGCGTACACTGTTGTGTACTTCTAGCATGTCCCTTGTGTACTATGGTCAGTGGATTAATTGCTTCAAGAGAAAACTGGTGTGTATCTGGTGCACCTGTAACTATTCTAACATTGTGTAAATAAACATCACAGTGACATGCCTGGAGTGCTTTAGAGAGTTTTTAACCCTTTTCCACTTTCTACCATTTTGTGAAGAATCAGGATTAGATATAGGAATTCTGATTGTGCCATTTTTACTGCTAGGGCAGTATCAATAGCAAAATTCAAATACATATCAGTAGCTGTAGTTCTCTGTCCAAGTGAATAAGATACAGGTTTAGCACATATGAACAGTATTTAATTTGATTCAGATATCTGAATTGCTATCACTAATGCTTCCAGCTTTGGATCTCTAACCTAATTCCCAGTCCTTCGTACCTAGGCTTGAGAGAAAGAAGCATTGACATGGAGTGAAATAATTTAAGTAGAACCCCGCTAGATCAAAATATACAGATTCATTCAACAGGATGTTTGGCTTGTAAATATATAAGGCATAACATTCCATTCCAATACATAAGTAGAAGTGGTTTCTGACTAGGGATGTTTGGCTTGTAAATATATAAGGCATAGCATTCCGTTCCAATACATAAGTAGAAATGGTTTCTGACTAGGGCATTTATGCCAGCTGTCCTGCTATTGTTTAGTATTGGGTTTTAGGTTTTATGTTAGATTTAGTAGTTATGTTGAGTTATATAAGGCATAACATTCCATTCCAATACATAAGTAGAAGTGGTTTCTGACTAGGGCATTTATGCCACCTGTCCTGCTATTGTTTAGTACTGAGTTTTAGGTTTTATGTAAAATTTAGTAGTTATGTTGAGCATTTTTGTTTTATAACCGATTATCTGTTATTATTATTGTGACGATTGCCCCATGTCACTCCTGTCACTCATAGTCAGGATCTCATTTGCATGAGCCTATGAGTGGATTGAAGGGGCGGAGTCAGCAGACAAAAAAAGTTTGGCAGGATAAGATAAGGAAGAGAGAATTTGCAGAGAGAGTGTGTGTCAGATAGTCAGAGAGATTGTGAGAGAAGAGAGAGAAAGAACAGATACTAATAGAGATAAGCTGGTCAAGATAAAAAGATAGAGCAGGTGGTGATTGGTTATATGGCTAGAGATATGGTATTTTAATGACTTGATTGTGTACAATGAATATCTGAAAAACATCTGTGATAATGGTTAACTTCATTATGATACACTTCAATAAGTTCTGTTGGCAGTTATCAGACAAGTGTGAACCCTTTGTGAGGACACAACACATAGGTGCATCTAAAGAGTGAATGTCACAATTGGTATCAGCTTGTGGGATGACATAGTGTGAGCTCTTTGTTTGGAGAAACAGGCAGGGGCCACGTGGTAAACATATTATATTATATTACATTATATTTAGTGCCTAGCACTAATGGGACAGTTTACAAGTATAATAAATAAATAAATATTTGATTCTGCATGATATACAGTGGTGCCTCGCAAGACGGGCGCTCCGTTTAATGACAAATCTGCATTACGATGACATTTTTGCGATCGCAAAATGACGTTTTAAATGGGGGGATTTTGCTGTGGGATGATCGGTTCCCTGTTTCGGGAACCAATTTTCGCTTCCCGAAAATCAAAACAGCTGATCATTGGGTTTTCAAAATGGCCGCCCGGTGCTCAAAATGGCTCCCCGCTGTGTTTAGGAGCCATTTTTCGCTGCACAGGCACCCTAAAATGGCCGCCCCTATGGAGGATCGTCGTTGGACGGTGAGTTCTTAGCCGATTGGAATGCATTAACCAGGTTTTAATGTGTTTCAATGGCTTTTTTATTTTCGCTTTACAACATTTTCGTTCTACAGCAATTTCGCTGGAACGAATTAACGTCCTAATGCGAGGCACCACTGTATATCATATTCTCACACCAAACACAGCCAGACACTTGCAACATACCTATTAACTTTTTCTTTCCCTCTCCCTTAAGTTCTCTTTCCTCTCTCTGTGTTTTTATTTTTCAGACAGTCATCAGGATTCAAGCAGAAAAGTTACTTCAGGACTCCTACCTTTTTGTGGCACTCTGGGATGCCCAATAAGGCATGTATTGACTGTTCATTCTCCCCATCATTATTTCTATATACCAGCCCAATCTGTATGAGATTGATGAGAGTGAGTGATGAGTGTGTCTATGGGCCGGTGAGCCAAACAGTCAGTGAGGGAAGAGTCTGTGTGTGTCAGTGAGTGAGAGACCTTGATTAACATTTTGTGATTTACTTATTTTATTTTGTTAAACCAATAAACAAGTTTAAGTTTTGAAGAAACACATGATTCAGTGATTTATTGGTATTGAAACAGCAATACCTGGTGGCAGCTACCTGAGAAGAAGAGTGAGCACTTCTGGAGGTCTGAGTTGGTAGAGGCTTCAGTGTGCTCACTACAGGTAGACCCTGCTGTTTTTGCTGTTTAAGTAATGGCATAGAATTAGGAGCCTTCACTGCTGGAGATGTATAACAAGCAGCAATAATTTTAAAGTTAGGTTTTAAAACATGCTTCACAGGAACCCACAATATTTGTGAAGTTTTTGACTGAAGAGTCAATAGTCTTCAATGTTTTATAGCAGGGGTCTCCAAACTATGGCCGACAGGCCACATCCAGCCTGCCTTGCCTTTCTATTCAGCGCAGTGAATGTTGAAGGCTGAAGTCCACATGCTCAGGTCTTCTCTCTTCAGCTTGTGCATGCATGCGTACGCACGCTCACGAGTGTGTTTCCTTGGCCCTCAAAAATGTGTAAAACATATGATGTGGCTCTCATCCTGAAAAGTTTGGAGACCCCTGTTTTATAGCATGGATAGAGGGAAGGGGAAACTGTGGTCCATGGGCACACTCACTTCAGAGCACCTGCATCTGCACACGGAGTCTCCACAGCAACTAGGTTTAAAAAACATATTTCCTTGGCTACAGTGGAATGGTTTCTTGCAGCCTAATCGCCGTGTGCACAATGTGTATGGAAGGGAAGAGAGTATTTTCAAGGAAATGTAACTAGGTAAGGGAAAGCTAACTGTTCCACCCCGAGCACCGTACATTCTGAAAAAAGAATGCAAATAGGCTAGTTAGTGCTACTAAATGCTATAGAAGTCTTTTTCCAAGCCTAATTTCAGCATCAGGAGGGGCAGGAGCTTTCTCTCTCTCTCTCTTTCTCTCTCTCTCCCTCTCTGTGTGTGTGTGTGTGTGTGTGAGTGTGAGTGTGTGTGTGTGAAGTTGTGTTTGTGTGTTGTGCATGGAAGTGTGAGAGAGACAGAGAGAGAGAGAGAAGTTGTGTTTGTGTGTTGTGCCTGGAGGTTTGTGTCTGTGTATTTTTCTTCTTGCTAACCATGATGTCTGATTTGACTCTCAGTTTTGGAGGAGAAGATCTTGATTAGGCACTAGAACTATAATATATGCAAGTAACTGCTGGACTGAGACTTTTATATGTATACGAGTATATCTTGCCAAGTTTATTATTGAAGCATTGTAAGATCTCTAGTTGAGTGAAAAGTGTTGTGTTGGGAATTGGGTTTTTCTAAACAAATGTGTTTGTCTTATGTCACTGCAGGAGTTCTATCACAACTGTTTACATTGAGGTCCTTCCGCCAAACAATCAAAGCCCACCCCGCTTTCCCCAGCAGATGTACAGCCTTGAACTCAGTGAGGCCATGCGAATTGGTGCCGTTTTGCTAAATTTGCAGGTACAGAATGCTTCAATGTAAGCATTGACAAAAATCTTTCTGCTTATGAATGTGATGGTTTTAATCCTACACTACTTTGGGTGTTTCTAAATAAATGTCTCTCTGTACCATGACTTTTTCTGCCATCACTGACCTCTTTTATTTTGGTTTGTCTCCTCAGAACCCCATTCTTATTACCACAGAATGACTACACATTTCTGTTGATACTTAGGGAGCCTTCTAGGGCATACACACACTTTACATGAAATTTGGATCCTCATTGTTGCCACAGAAGGACTGAATGTCCACTCTAGAATGTATCTAGTTTTTTATTCTTTATTCTAGTTCTACCCATGTGCATCCCTTACAGCTGGGTAGATCTAAATGAATATATTGATTATATTAATGGCAGGCATGGACATTTTAAGAAAAAACCTAATTCATTAGTTTTAGCTGCATACCTGAGGTAATCACATTGGGATTATGTCTTGAAACACTAATCCTGTTTGCATAATTTACCATGGCTAGCTGATGAGCCTACAGGGCATGCCCCAGCACCTCATCAATTATCCACAGAAAGTTATGCAAACCTTTAGTGTTTAATTTAAAATGACATGTCTGTTTTTATGTTACGGTTTAATTAATTTTGTTAATTTGATTATTGTATTTTTGTTTTATTAATTTGTAATATTTCTGGTCTTTTCCTTTCCCCCTTCTTTTTGCTTTATGTGGAGGGCCTGCCCTCCCCAAGCGGGGCTCCTCTGAACACCAGAATGATTATGGGTAGAGGGAGATATGGCATTGGCACAGTTCCTACTCATTGCAGAAGAACAGTGAACATATGTTTGAAGGTTGTTCACTGTTCTGGCACAGTGACTGTCAGACTCAAGGTAGTCAGACCAGCTATCCCTTCACTCTAAATCTGGTGTTGTTGAACGCCAGGTTTATATCCAGCAAATCCCATATTAGCCAAGACCTTATCCTGGAGGAGGATGCAGACCAGGCATGCATAACTGAGAATTGGATGGGCGGGGAAGGGGGTGTTCCCTTGATCCTTGTCTGCCCTCCAGGTTATGCAGTACAACACCAGGGTAGACTGGAGTGGTGGGGGGAGAAGCCATTGTCTATAAAAGCACTCTAGATGTTGTTAGGTGCTCCGTGGTGGTGACGCCAGGTCTTGAGGCTCTACACATATCGATTGGAGCCAAGGATGGAATCTTGCTGGTTACTGCACTGCCTGCGACCCAGCCATTTCCTTACTGGAGCTGGCAGACTTCACCTCCCGACACTGGCGGAATCTCCAAGGCTTTTGGTCTTGGGTGATTCAACATCCATGTAGAGGTTTCCTGTCTGGCTCTTCAGTTCTTGGAAACCATGGCTTCCTTGGATGTGTCCCAACATGTCAACAGTCCCACCCACGTGGGCGGTCACATGTTAGACCTGGTGTTTTCCCCCGAGCAAAGTGAGTGTGGTCTGATGGTTACTGACCTTGTGTCAGTCCCCTTGTCATGGTCAGATCACCGCCTACTTAAATGCAACCTCTCAGTGGCTCTCTCTCTCTCTCTGCCGGGAACAAGGACTTATTTTAATGGTCCGTCCCCGAAGGTTACTGGATCCTATAGGATTCCAGGAGAAGGATTGCAGCTAATCTGACTGGTGCTCCTGTCAATGCTCTGGTTGATGCTGGCTTGCCGCCGCTATCAGGGCTGTTGACACAATCACTCCTAAACACCTCTCCATTGCAGAGCTCATTCAGCACCCTGGTTTAATCAGCAGCTGTGAGCTATGAAGCAAAGTAGGAGAAGGCTAAAGTGCAAGTGGAGAAGAAACCTGACAGATTATAATCGAAAAGCTGTCAGGATTGCAACCAACCTTTACCCTACCATGGTGGGGGCTGCCAGTTGAGCTTACTTCTCTGTCCAGATAAGCAAAACTTCAAATCAGCAGGCGGAACTTTTCCCTATAGTCCACAATCTATCCAGAATTAGTCTAAGTGATAGGCCTCCTACTAGTATTTCACCTGACCAATTTGCAGCATTTTTAAAATCTAAAGTGGAGGCCATCCGCTGGGAGCTCTCTTCTTTTTTGAACAAGTAGATCGAGCAGAGAAGTCCAGAGCTCCACCTTGCCCAATGAGACTTGATCTCTTTCAGCCTGTGACACCAGATATGGTGGACAAAGCGCTTGACCGCTGTCTTGCCACCACCTCCTCCCTTGACCCTTGCCCGGCCTGGTTAATCAAAGCAGCCAGGCCTATAACAACCGAATGGGCCACTGCAGTAATTAATGGGTCTCTCCAGGGGGGCCAGATTCCCCTTGCCCTCAAGGAGGAAGTCATTTGGCCCATTAGGAAGAAACCAGATGACATTGGCAATTATAGACCTGTCACCAATGTTTCTTTGCTAAGCAAAGTGGTAGAGAGGGTGGTGGCTAACCAGCTCCAGGCCTTTTGGATTAAACCAACGCCCTGGATCCCTTTCAGTTGGGCTTCAGGCCATGCCATGGTACAGAAACAGCATTGGTCACCCTGTTTGATGACCTGCTGAGGGAGGCCAACATGGGAAAAATGTCTCTGTTGGTCCTTCTCGATATCTTAGCCACCTTCAATACCGTCGACCACGGTATCCTCCTGGAGAATTGGTGTCTCGTGCTAGCCTGGCTCCAGTCCTTCTTGGAGGACAATCCCAGAAAGTACAGCTTGGGGAGAGTGTATCGGCTCTGTGGAATCTTAATTGTGGGGTTTTGCAGGGCTTGATTATCTCCTCAATGCTGTTTAATATCTATTTTTTATTTTCTTTTTTTCTTTTTTATACATTTTATTCAACTACAAACACATATCTATAGTACAAATACAGATACCCCAAACCCTCCCCCCACCCTTTGAGGACAGAGATTCAGACCTCGTTACATTCCAGCTTTCCCAAACTCCAGAGAGCATTGAAAATAAAAAGAGAAGGGAAAAAAAGAACAAAGCCCATCAATCATTTTGCCCTATCTTCAAGTCTGACCCTGGGCCCAAACATGTATTAAGTTCCAACTTTGTTTTACATAGTCTCTTGGTTGATCTCGTAGCGCTTCTGATAATGTGTCCAGTTCTATAATGTCCAACAGCTTCTTCAGGAGCTCCTCCATTGTAGGCATGTCTTCGCTTTTCCATTTTGGGGCCCAGAATAACCTAGCTGCTATCAATATATACATCAAACAATATTTGAGTTTCTTATCGGTAATTTCTGGCATAATATTTAATAATGCTATTTCGGGTTTAAAGTTTAATTTCTTTTGAATAATTCCTTTTATCATTTCCCACAACTGTGACCAATAAACCCTGGCTTTTTCACATGACCACCACATATGATAATAAGTTCCTACTTTTTTTTACATTTCCAACAGATATTACTGCTACCTTATGACATTTTTGCCAGTTTTATAGGAGTGTAATGCCATCTGTAAAACATTTTGAGGATGTTTTCTCTTAGATTTACTGGCTTGATCATTTTATAACAATCTTTCCACATCGTCGTCCAGTGATCAATGTCAATATTATAGCCGAAATCCCTTGCCCATTTTATCATTGTCTCCTTT